TTCGGTCAACTTTGAATTCGATCAACATAACTTTTGTTTAAAACTCTGTGTTTTGGTCTGATTTCGTGTCAAAAATTTGTCGGGTCATTTTTGTTAGGTCTATCTTCGGGATAGCTAGAATAAGATGATTTTTCATTTTAATTTATTTAAATTACTCCCCACACCAGCAAAATATTTAGTGTTTGAAGAAAAAGGCTCTCTTTAAATATACTTTCTCCGTCCCATAAAACCTTTCTCCTTTCTTTTTTCATCCGTCCCACAAAACACTTCTCATTTCTATTAAAAAGTCACTTTTACCTTTTACTTTTTCATAACCTACCTATCACATCATACCTTTTTACTACGGAGTAATAATCTATCCATCAAATGATACTTTTACTTATCACATCAAAGGACATTTTTGGAAATTCAATACCAAAATACACTACCCTTAAATCACTTCTAAAAAGCAAAAGTTCCATGTTTCATGGGACGGAGGGAGTATGTACCTTTGATTTTGTTTTTCCAAATTTTTATTTTAGGACATAAGAAAGTTATATGCGTAAAATATGTCATATAATACATAAATAGGAGTGTTATTAAGATTTTAAGATATAAATAAGAGTAATTTACCTAAATAGGACTAAAACATAATGACTTTCCCAAAATAGGACCATATGTTTTTATTTCCGAATGTAGGACCTTTGGTCATTATTCAAGTAATGTCTATCATTGCTGGACATTATTCCTTCTAAGAAGACATTAATAAGTCCTATTTAAGGAATAAAAAAGTTTAAGTCCTAGATTAGGAAAGTCATTATGTTTTAGTCCTATTTAGTGCAAATTTCACATAAATAAAAGTTACTCCGTATTATCTAAAAGTGACAAATTTATCACCGCTAACACTTTGCCACAATTCTCCACTGCCACACTGTTATCTTTTGTCGCCGCACTGCCACGGCCCTCTGGTGCATCACTATATATATATATATATATATATATATATATATATATATATATATATCACTGTCACCATTAAACTGCCAACTCTATCGTCACGCTAGCTACCGGCTACCGCCCTTTGCTGCCACACTCCCCCGTCGTATTCAATTTCATAACGGCAGAGCCTATACCATTAACATATATAAAAAAAAATAACATAATGGTACTTTCTCTTCCGTCACAGCTTTGTCAGCCACACTTTCACAATTTGGAAAGAAATTTTCAGGATTTTCACCATTTGGGAAATCACCCCGTCTTAGTTGTCACATACACTGGCAGCTAGTGTGGCACCTCTCCCACCGTTAGTTTGCTACCGCCGCCGCCACGCCAAACTCTACTCTCTGCCGTCACAACCTAAAATATGAGCTGGCCGTTGCATTGGGTTATGAGTTGCGTTGGAATTGGGTTGCATTGCATTTATTTATTGGAGCTCCTTGTACGAAGCATATATATAGAGGCTAGGGGTGACCGGCGGCGTTGGAAGATCGAGGGGCTTCAATTCCTTGCTTTCACCGGAGGACAATAGAGAGCATTCAAGCTAGCCTGCCAGCCCCGTACACCTTGCATTAATAAATGCTCCTCCGATCCTCCCACATACATGGTGTGTTAAGTTATTATCTTGTTTTTTTACTCTCCTAGTTTTGCCCTAAATAAAAATCGGCAAATCTACTTAAATACTCCTGCTTAACAAAATTTAACTTATGTTTTAGTCCTATTTAATATAAATTTTTCTTACTTTTATCGTTTGTGTTATACGGATTTTGAGAATAACAATATGAACACGAAAAACAAGACAACAAATTTACATGGTTCACCAATAAATTTGGCTACATCCACAAGGAAGAGGGGGAACAGTTTTATTATAGAGATGCAAGAACAGAATACAAGTTAAAGTTTGTAATAGCACCTATATATATAGTGCTAGGCTCCCTAACAGGCTTGGGCCCAAAGTATATAAAATTGACATATACGGAGTAATTAATAGCTAGCCCACAATACATCAAGGCATTACAACATTTTGAGACGTTGGGAGCCGTCAATTTTTTGGGTTGGGTGTGATGAGTAAGAAAGCAGAAAAGAAAATATTCATTGTTTAGATTGATGTAAAATGATAAAAAAAAATTGTGAGAAAAAAATCGAAATTAAAAAAAGGAGAAAACTAGTGGTGGGAAAAAAGCCACATCACCCATTCACCCGTACTGTTTTCTCGATCACGGTGAGACCATTCTTTCTGTTAATAGCAAAAAACATTAAAAATATATCAAAATAGAAATTTGATATTTTGGTTCGATCTCCAAACTTGATTTGAATGAATTTTAGCTCGATCTCCGGTTCAGGTATTTTAAGTTTTCACTTTTCAGGGTCTTTGACCAGTCTAGTACAAATTTGTTACTCGTAACATTTTGCCCTAGACTAACGGATTGATATCTGATCTTATTTTCTTTTTGCCTTTCTCCATTTCGATGAGAGCCTCCTATTTATTTATTACTCTGTATATGTTCTCCTTAACTCATTTTTATTACTTATTCTTATTAGAATAAAATCAAACAAAATCAAATTAAAAAAACTTTAAATGTAATTATAATCCGATCCGAACGTATTGAGAGTCGGACTGAAAATTTTCACTCCGATTGAAATATTGTGATAGAATTTAGGATGGGTATGGACAACTAGATTGGGTAATAAGACACTTAGGTTGAATCACATTAAAAGATTGAATCCAATCGATTAGTTAGTTCAACTCTAGTGCTTATGTGCCGATTATTTTACTCATGAACTTCTGATGTGAGATGACACTCTCACACTCCCCCTCAAGTGGACAACTGGCCATTTTGAATTTAACCAGTTGACCACTTGCAAATAAACTCTCATTCCCTTGATTTTTTTGAGCACCGACACATAAAGGACCACGAGCCGCTAGGTATGGATTTTCAGACGAGGAATCGTGTTAAACGGGTCACATGCTGCCAGGCCGCTTGGAATAAACGTATAGACGGACAGCTTGACAAACGAGGTGGGCCAAAACCTGCTTTGATACCATGATAGAATTTAGGATGGGTATGGACAACTGGATTGGGCGATAAGATACTTATGTTGAAACCACATTAAAAAAATTGAATCCAATCGATTAGTTAATTAATTTAACTCAAAAACTTATATACCGATTATTTTACTCTTGAACTTTCGATGTGGGATGACACTCTAACATATTGGTATTTGTAACAGTAATACTAGAATCACAAATAAACAGTTCACAAAATTCACAAACTTGTCTTTTTAACATTTTCCTATAATTAAAATGCACTCAATCAATAAAAGATATTTTAATTTAAAATATACAAAAGGCACGTTTGTGAAGTTTGTATAGTATTTGTTTGTGACTCTAGGATTTTCTTATTTGTAAATATACGAATTATTATTAAATTTGATGGTATTGGTAAATTTCATGAACAATTATAAATTTAATGGTAGTGATATTACTATACTTTGAGTAAATTTTATAATTGGTCCTTTATAACAGAGAGATTTCTATATTTAGTACTCTATTATCAAATATTACCCCGTAGTCCTTTTTTTAACGGTGTTTTTCCATAAATATAATGGTCCTTTTTTGGATCTTGTATCATATTGGTGTTAATTTATAGGCTAAAATTATAATTTGATATCTACATTATGTCTAGTGATGTGTTCTGATATTTCTTAAGCGAATAACACAAAAATAATGATTATAATTGTGGGATAGGATTCCGACGAAAGACCACACTTGTAGACAATGGTTGTAGTAGAAAGCAACTATAATTCATAAACAACGCAAACGGAATAACCTTTGGAATTATGTATGACAAAAAAGATATATTATCATTATGAAATTACACTTTTAGCCCTCAAATTAACACCAACATGATACAAGATCCAAAAAAGGACTATTTGTGGAAAGGTACCAATAAAAGAAGGACCACTAGAATAATATTTGATAATAAAGGACTAAATAAAGAAACTTTCCTGTTATAAATAACCAATTATGAAATTTACTCTATTAGTTTTGATATATGTAGAAGAGAATTGGATCAAAATATAGTGCTAAGTGAGGATGAAGGGGCATAGAGACCAGACCAAAGGAATTGATCGGTATCAACTAGGATTTGAACTACATGACAAGTTCAAAGTTTGAACAAGTTGGAAATTCGTAAAAGATTTGTTTAAAGAGTCCAAAAGAGTAGTTCTCTTCACAACAGTTTTATTTTGATTTTTTGATCAAAATTGACAATTGTTAATATAATATCCAATTATATTAAAATGACACTCCTTCCGCTCCTAAAAACTCTTCATGTTTTGACTTTTTTAGTCAAATAGTAGTAACATGTTTTTACCATAAATTAAATATAATCTAAATAAATAGTAAATGTTTTAAAATTTTGATATATCAAGACTATATCCATGTATGAACCAAATCATTTTGAATTTATATTATAATTTAATATGTATTTTTTCACAATTCAGGATCAAAGAGTCAATGTTTGACTATAAAAAGTCAAGAAGAGTTTTTTGGATCAGAGAAAATATTAGATATTGATATAAAAATAATTTTATTTATAAATGCTCTTCCTCGGACATGGTGTGTAATTATTTTGTTTTTTACTCTGTCCTAGGCTGTGTTTGGTTTGAGGTAGGTTAAGTTTTATTAGGTAGGTAATAGTTGGTAATTGAGGGTAGGTAAAGTAAGCAAAAAATTGCTCTAGGGTACCCTCGGTTTTGTGATAAGAACTATACGGTACCCTTATTTTAAAATTATACTCACAGGTACCTTTCATTATTTGAAAACTTACTAGCAGGACCCTTCCGTCAATTGCTCCCTTACTTCGTTAGTTTCTTTTACAAAATGTATATTGCTTACCCATATAGAGCCTCGGGCGGCAAAAGCTCAAAAGCATGATAACAGGTTCTTGGTTGTTTTGGGTCAAACAATCCATGAATCGGTCCACGTATTCTTCCCATAGCGTGCAACCCAAACGATTTCCCCTGTAAGATTGCGTAATAGAGCTAATCCAAATGTGCCATTTATTTATATCATGTGATTTTTTGTAATTATTAAGTCATACTCATGATCTTCTAGGGTAACTTCAATCAATTTCTGTTCAGAGCCTCTCCTTGAGTTTGTTTGAACACTTGGTCGAGCCACTATCTTTCCAATGACATCTGCATTAATATTTCGTGATTTTCAAAGAGGATAGATAACCTATTTTTCCGGATAAAACTTGATTTTGCAAAACAATCTCTTGCGGTAAATTTTCTTAAAAAAGTAATACCAATCAAGAGCTGATCATTCAAACATGGTTGGCTTTGAATATCTGGAAATGACTTGAGGTCAAGCATGAAGGTTGGAAAATCCAGCCGAAACAAAGTTTTCACTTCAGTATCTTCGAAAAACCCTAAAAGCTTATCATTTGAAGTGGTTTTCAAACTCTGGTAGTTATCATGAACAAAAACATTTCGAATGGCAAAAACACCCCCCTCGGTGATTTGATTTTCAAATTTTTTTTTTCGGGTAAGTTGAGATGAGCGTGAATCCTCGTTCCCTATTTAAAAAAAAAAGCAAGTGAGATATTGAGATTAAATTTAATAATAATAATTCAAAAATGAAATACAAAAGTTGGGGAATACGATACATGTTCATCGTGAAATATGATCTCCATGGTATCCCCGCCTTTAGCCCACTTCGGAACAAAGTAAACGCGCACAACCCTTAACATGAGAATCCAAGTTTTTTTTAGTGTTGTTTAGAGACGTAATTGGAGCAAACATGGTTCGCACTCATAATATTCTGGATTGTAATAGATTTATTTTACTTGCTAGCACTCATGTGTACATTATGCAAAGCTTGTTGATCTATATATATATATATATATATATATATATATATATACGGAGTGTATGTGTAATGGTGCAAGTGGATTGTAATAGATTATTACACCGTGTGTAAGTGTAATAATGGATTGGATTGTAATAGATTTGGTTTATGGATCCACACAACCTTTTTATTTACTTTGTAGATAGGCAAATTTAAAAAAGAGTGACATGACAACTCATGTGATTTGACACAGCTGATTTTACTTTTTAGATAGGCCCAATCTGATTTGACATAGCCCAGTTGCCCAGCCCGCATAGCCCAGCCCGATTTTTGGCCCAATGAAGCACCCTACGTTTTGGCGGGAACACTGTTCCAAATAGGATCCAAGCATTATATATAGTAAGATTATATAATTAATATTTTGTTTTTTAAAAAAGAGTGTTATTAAATTTATTAATTATAATTGCTGAACTGTATTTATTATTATGAAATCTTAATATATTTCTCTCTACATGCTTTTTTATAATAAATCAGAGTGCTTTTACTCTTTGTCATGGTCTTAAATAAATTAACTTGGATATCTATTTTTTTATTATTAATGATTATATACTAAAGTTTTCTACATTCAAAGTTAAATTTGTTAATTGTGTTATTAATTTTTCGTGCTCAAAGTGATATCCGAAGTAAAATTTGTACATTTTTCTATCTAATTATGTCAAAAAATGATTAATGGGCCTTAAATAGAATGTAACTGATTCAATCTTTCCTAGGCCCAAAGTCAGAAATTGGCCCATTAAGTTTAGGTAGGATTTAATTCCTGCCGCTGTTGTAAATAGGGAGATAATTATAAATTATTACGGAGTATATATAACTTATAGCATAAGTTACAAATTCACAAGACAAAATTCTGCATAGTTAAAATCATGAAGTGCATTATCAAGACCCAGCCTTTGGAATGAATAAAAATGAGCCATAACTTCTACTCCTTCAGTTAGTAGCCTGTTTGGTTGGTTTACAAGTTGGTTATTATCCTCATGCTTCAAGTTATATTTTGTTCATAGAATTTCTTCCTTTGTTTTTACATTTGATATTTATTTATTTCATTTTTTCTACTGTTAAATATTGTTTATTCTTCTTTAGAATTTTTGTATATTGTATTAAAAATCATAGGGAAATATATTTTTTCTTTATTCTGGGAAAAAATATTGCATTAAAAAAGTTTTAGAACCAATAAAAATTTTGTTCGATCCCGTGCGTGGCACGGGTAAAAATACTAGTTATTTATTAACTACAATAAGAGTGAATTTAGAAATATCATCATTACTATTATTATTATTATTATTATTATCATCATCATCATCATCATTATCATCATCATTATTACCGCCATCATCATCAGATCATTATTGTCAATATCATCATCATTATTGTAATTAAAATAAACAGACAAATTAATAAGAAAATAATACTCCCTCTGTCCTAAAACTTTATTCTCAGTTTGACTTTTCCCCATTTTTAATTTTTGGTTTTGACTTCAAATTTTACACTCCTTGAAAAAGATTTTTTGAATTTTTTTTGCAATCATTCAAAACATAAAGTTAGAAGATAATTGGTGTAAATACATGAGGGTATTAATGTCATTTGTCATCTTTTTTTCTAATGGAAAGGTAGTTTTAGGACGAAGAAAAAGGGAAAGCGAGAAAAAAATTTTAAGACGAATGGAGTAAGATGGTGGGAACAAATGAAAAAATGGTGGAACTTGGAAGTATATAACTAGGACCGGCTAACTTCTATAACCACTTGGAACCCGAACCCCTTTAATGATGGACATTGTCTGTGCACCTCTTAAGTTTAAGAGAGATTTTTTGTGTGTTGATATTCCAAAAAATATTTTTAGTGTGATGTATAAAAATAAGGATGTGATATCTAAATTATTAGTAAAAAGGTTTGATGTGATAGTTAGGGTATGAAAAAGTAAGGGTAAAAGGAGTTTTTTAATAGAAAAGAAAAGTTTATTTGGATACAAAGAAAAAACGAAAAAGGAAGTTTATTTGGGGATGAATGGAGTATTATATAAGGGGAGAATCACTTTTTAATTAAAAGTTTTAAATGAATGAGTTTGAATTTGTGAATAACATGGGAGGTGGGATTTGTGGTTGAGTTAGTTTTGACTTAGAGCGTGTTTTTTAGGACTGAAAAAAAAGAGCTGAATGTTGGAAGAAACTGGAAAAAACTAGAAGAAACTGGAATGAACTAGAAAACTAGAAGGAACTAGAAGAAACTGGAAAAACTTTAAAAAAAAATTATTTAAATTCTTGTTGTTATAAATTATTATTATTATTATCATCATCATCATCATCATCATCATCACGTTATCTTAAAGAATGCCTTTAAGATACAAAAAAATATTGTTATGTTTTAAATACAAAAAAACTACGAGTACTTTTGAAAAAAAAATTATAATATAAAGTTAGCATAAATTTAAAAATATTAAATTTTAAATTTTTTTTGTGGTTATGTTTCACCTCAATTTATTTATGGAGTATTTATTATAAATAATATATTTGTAATTATACTTTATATATTACAAGATTTTTTTTGAAATATGAGACATGTCAATAATGTAATCAAACATATTTTTTCTTTCATGATTCACATTTTTTTTCATAGAAGTCCAATTTTTGGAATAAAGACATATAATGGTTTTTTACATTTTTTAAGTTTTACTCCTATTTTAGTCTTTTTCTCTAAAATATTTTGATTTACAACTTTTTTTTATAAAATTTAGAAAAATGAGCAAATTTGAAGTAATAAAGGGAAAGCTGAGAGGTCTTATATAAAGTTAGATTAATAAATCATTCCGTGTCACTATTTTATCTAAAAAAAAATTTAATGTAGTTTAACATATTGATGTTTTACTGTTTTATCCTGTAGATTAATATACAGAAAGTTGTTTTATTCATATTATAAAGTTGAAGAAAAAAGTAATGAGTGTGAATTGTAAAAATGGTGAGATGAAAAAAATAATTTGTAAACTATAATTATGAGCATAGCAGTTGTAATAATAATAATAATAATAATAATAATAATAATAATAATAATAATCTTATTAAAAATATATCATTTTTAGAGTAATTGGTTAGGGAGTAGAAAGAGTTTGAAGAAAATGAGAATAGTTGGAAGAAACTGGAAGGAACTAGAAAAAACTAAAATAACTGGAAGAAACTGGAATTAACTAGAAGAAACTGGAAGAAACTGAAAAAAACAAGAAGGAACTGGAAGAAACTATAAGTTAAGAGTTCAAGTCCTAAAGAACATTCTCTTAAAAGAATTTGATTAAAATCTAAATTTAAATTCTTTGAGTTTCATCACTTAAAAGAGTTGTAAAACACATAAAAAGTAATAAAATAAAAATTTTATTTTTTATCCCTAAAACTATATAACAATGTATATGAACATTTCATAATATTTTTTGATAATATATATAGTAATGATTGTCATTGTAAATACATTTTAACTAATATTTCTGAAATAAAACACGAATATATTATTTTGATATATTTTCACTAGTTTATTCTTTAGTCTTTTTTCCAAAACTTAATACCAGATTTCCCTTTCTTCTTAATGTAAAACAGACCGAGTGATGTATATAATGTTTGGGTAGTTGTTAGAAATTAAAATGGAGAAAGAATGCTGCGGAGGAGTGTTAACAAAAAATGAGAAGAACAACTTGATAGAGTATAACAAATTGCGTAGAACGCTTTCAAATCAAATTTATTTTGGAACATACGAAATACTTTAATCGAATAAAACGTTAATGAAGAAGAAGTACTCCCTCCGTTTTTTAAAACACTTCCTCTTTCATTTTTTTCACTTCCAACAAAACACTTCCACTTTCTATTAAAAAATCACTTTTACCCTTACTTTTTCATACCCTACCTATCACATCATACTTTATCTCTAATAATCTATCCATCACATCTTACTTTTACCTATCACATCAAGGGCAAAATTGGAAGTCAACTACAATTTAACACTTCCTTATTTTTACACAAAGTCAAAATAGGAATACTTTTTCCAAACGGAGGGAGTACTAAAAATCAGATGCTCAATTTACTTCCTTTCCCACAATTATGAATATAGTATCAATAAAGCTTACCTATGAGGCTCTATTTATAGAGTCGAAAATTTGATGATCAGACATGAACGATCGAGTTAGACGCGAAATGAATTTCAACCATAACGAATGGTAGTACGTTCTAGGAACATATTTAAGTCTATACCAATTAGACAAAAACAGGCTCAATTTACTTCCTTTCCGACAATTGTGAATATAGTATCAATAGAGCTTACACACTCAAATCACACCAGCAACAAGACTAATGCTCACATCAAAGAAGAAGTAACCATATTTAAGTCTATACCAATTAGACAAAAACAAAGGCTCAATTTACTTCCTTTCAAACAATTGTGAATATAGTATCAATAGAGCTTACACACTCAAATCACACCAGCAATAAGACTAATGCTCACATCAAAGAAGAAGTAAATTGCATGCAGAAAGACTACTCATATCTAACTCTCTATAAAACTAAAAATCATTTCCCTGCTAATTAATTCATTGTATAACGCATGAGGGAGTGTGAGTGAATGGCATATGCATACTTATTAGAGACTGAAGAGCGGAGGCATGCTTTCGTCCCAAACTAGGCGTGGAGCCGCGAGCGTGGTCTTGTAAGCAACTAAATTGAAATATTGATACAAAGATCCTCTGATTGGCATTTTGATTTCTTCAACACTTTGCTCTTTCAAGTTGACAAGAAATAAATATGGATCCCATAATACTAACAACTCATCCCTTCGCACGCTCTGGATAACGTAACGGTTTTGGATCACGTATTGGTGGAACTCCGTAGAGCAATCCGGGATAGGGAGACTCATCGTAGAAGACAATGGAACCCAATACCAGTTTGCATAATCCTCCAAAGTCCATATGTCTAGTCGCCCCAGCACCATGTCACTATGGGAGATGCACAAACGGTCATCATGAACAAACAAATACATGTCCAAATGATGAAGTTTTGTACGGGGGCATTCAAATTCTGGGTGCGGCAAAGTGTAGAACTTTCCAGAATCCATCTCAAACACGAGTATCGCGTGCATGCAATCATCTTTGTCCTTGTCAATGGGATACACCATCAAATACAGAGCTCCGTTCACAACAACTGGGTTTCTCTTTGAGTATGATGAACTGCATGAGAAAGGGCTCCGGGCGATTTCCACATCGGTGCGGGAGTCTAAACTGTACACACAAAACTGACGACCTTCATCAGATTCAGAATGCCGGAGTGCGCATAGATAATTGTATTCATTTCTCGGCTCATTAAAGAACAGGCCACGCACGGAATGGTTTGTTCTGGTTTTCATAGCTCCTAGTTGTCGAGTGAAGAGGTTGAAAGCAAACTCGTGTGCCCCCCACGACCAGTTGTAGTATCCCGAAGCCTTAAAATGAAGTAAGGGACCACAAGCACCGTATAAAGAAATCGGATAAAACTGTTGGGCACGGCCCTTAAAGCCGAGGTTAGACTTGAAAGAAATCTTGGTCAACTTTTTGGCAACTGCATCATAAACATAATAATCTCTACCTCTTTTTTTAAGGTAATCAAGTGAGCTTTCCTCAAGAAGAATGACGGAGGGAGCTCTACGGTTTTGTACCGTGATGAAATGGGTGGAGGAAGTGAGAGTCCTCCAATGTCTACACACTTTGCGACACTGTAGAACAGCATCTGCAGGAAGCCTGCTCAAAATATTAACTAAGATGTCATCCGGGAACCGATCAAATCCTTTGTTTTGTCTTGGACACATACACAAAATATGCGCAACCCATGCGGTGGTGCGCTGGACCGCCATCATAGATGAATCAATTGCACCTCTCNTTTTTTTTACCTATGCAGAAAACAGTCAAGTATTAAGTTTTTTTTATATCAATAGCATAGGCTTTAATTTCAGAAAAGAACAACTAACTACAACAAGAACCCAGGACGACAGTCCCAATGCAACAAGGGGAACTTTAAGCTTTCCTACACAATCTCAAGCCTTCAAAAGGAATTAATAGGTTGGAAAGAAGATATTTTTTCCCCGGTGACAGCAACAAAAGGCTTCAAAGGGATTTAAAAAGCATAAAACAGACAAATAATACATATATAAAAAGTTGAAGATCTGCCGATGAAATTTGGGGAAGAGACTTGTTACTTACAGCGCGCGATCAAGAATGTGAGAGAGAGAGAGACAGAGATCGAAGACGAAGAGGCGAATTCGATGAATTAGGACAATTCGGTGAAGAGGCCAAGAATGTGAGTCACATCATTGGAATGAACGCATATATTAAGTAGAAGCCCCTATCAAGTATCCTAGTAACAACACACTTTTAACTAATACTCCTACTCCTAGTAGTTATATAAGGGAAAGTGCGCTATTAAAAAAAAAAAGAAAATAAGGGGAAGTCTTTTATTTTTTTTATTTATATCTTTATTATTACACCTCCATTTTTTACAACAAAAATAGTACTTCCTCCGTCCCTGAGTGTTTGTCTACTTTCAGTTTTGCACACCATCCAATGCACTTCTTTAATTCATTTTATCTTGTAATTTGTACATTAAAAAATTATAAAAATTATATATTAATAATCTACTCCCTCCGTCCCTAAATAAACTTCCTCTTTCGTTTTTTCTTTGTCCCCAAACAAACTTCTCTTTTCCTTTAAAAACCCCCTTTTACCCCTTATTTTTTCATACCTTACCTATCACATCATACCTTTTTACTAATAATCTACATTTCACATCTTACTTTTACACATCACATCAAGGGTATAGTCAACACCAAAATATCCCTCCCTTAAATCCTAAAAAAGTCAAAAATGGAACTTTATTTAGGGACGGAGGGAGTATATGTTAAGACGAATCAAACAAGATCACTCATGATTATTTTTAGGCTTATACGTTGAGAGAATTTGATGAGTCAAAATGCTTAAATTAACAGTTCCAAAAGTAAAAAATGAACAAACACTCAGGGACGGACCAAGTATCATAATATGACAACAACTCTCCAATTATAAAATTCATGGTTTCTAATCTCTAATTTTTAGGTAAACCTCCACCACATTGGCCCAACTCTTTTAATTTTATTCCCCTATATTTTATTTTACTTTTAGGTCAAATTTATTACTCCGCTCACCTAAAATCTTCCTATTACGCGTTACAAATTTATTACTCCGCTCACCTAAAATCTTCCTAGTAGTTATATAAGGGAAAGTGCGCTAAAAAAAAAGAAAATAAGGGGAAGTCTTTTATATTTTTATTTACGGAGTATATTTTTATTATTACACCTTCCTTTTTTTTTACAACAAAAATAGTGTCATAGTATGACAACAACTCTCCGATCATTAAAGTCATGGTTCCTACTCTCTAATTCCTAGGTAAAACTATCACCACAACCCCTTCCATTTTATTTTACTTTTAAGTCAAATTTATTATTATTGGTGTTGTTGTTATCGTTATCATCATCATCATCATCATTATTATTATATATTCATGAAATTTTTCCTTTTTATGACTATTACTATTATTATTATTATTATTATTATTATTTTTATTTTTATTTTTATTTTTATACTCAAGAAATTTTCAAAATAGAAGTTTTATGGTTTTTATCCCTAACATATGAGTTCATTCTGTTGTAATGTGGCATTCTATATGAATGTTTCACAATATCTTTTGATAATATATATTATTATGGTTGACATAAACTATGTATGTATTTTTACTTCTATTTAAGAAATAAAAATATGTAATTTTTATTTTGATATATTTTTAATAATTTACTCATGCTTTAGTCTTTTTTAATATATTCCTCTCATTTTACCTAAATTAATTCCATTTATACTAAATAGACAATTTTGTCCTTAAATAAAAAAAAGAAGAACTTTAGCTACCAGTCTACAACACATCTTTTAAGGAATTACTTACGGAGTATTAACTATTATAAGAGTGAATTTATCAAAGGTATATAAGGGGAAGTCTTATTTATTTTTATTTAGATTTTTATTATTACACCTCCCTTTTTTACAACAAAAATAGTACTCCGTATCATAATATGACAACAACTTCAGTCGGATTATCATAGGTACTCCGATCATAAAATTCATTATTCCTACCATCTAACCTCTCGGTAAACCCTCCCACCCCGACCCGCGCCGAACCTCCAACCCTTTCAATTTTATTCCCCAATTTTATTTTACTTTTGGGTCAAATTTATTATTATTATTATTATTATTATTATTATTATTATTATTATTATTATTATTATTATTATTATTATTATTATTATTATATATTCATGAATATTTTCCCCTTTTATTATTATTATTATTGCTATTATTATTATACATGTGAAATTACCAAAATCGGAATAAAAAAGAGGGAATATATACCAAAATACAAGTTTAATGGTTTTTATCCCTGACATATAAGTTTATTCTGTTGTAATGTGACACTCTATATGAATATTTTATAATATTTTTTGGTAATATACTCCCTCCGTCCCGGAATATTCGTTCAGTTTTGACTTTTGAAACTGTTCATCTAAGCACTTTGACTCATCAAATTCTCTCAATGTGTAAACCTAAATACAGTCATGTGTGATCTTGTTTGATTTGTCTTAACATATAGATTATTAATATATAATTTCTATAATTTTTTAATTTACAAATTACAATCTAAAATAGATTAAAAAGTGCATTAGATGGTGTGTAAAAATGAAAGTGGACAAATATTATGGGACGGAGGGAGTATATTATAATGATTGAGACTATGTATTTTAACTTTTATTTCAGAAATAAAAGTATTTAATTTCTATTTTGATATATTTTCATTATTTTACTCTTACTTTAGTCTTTTTCTTAATATATTCCTCTCATTTTTCCTAAACCTATTCCATTTATACCAAAACAACAATTTTGTATTTAAATAAAGAAGAACTTTATCTACAACGCATCTTTTAAGGAATTTTTTTTTTGAAAGTAAGGAATTATTTATTAACTATAATAAGAGTGAATTTAGAAATATCCTCATTACTATTATTATTATTATTACTATTTTTATTATAAATAATAATATTATAATTATTATTATTATGTTCATTATTATTATTATTTTCATTATTATTATCATCATCATCAGATCAGTATTGTCAATATCATTATTTTCATGAATAATGTGATATTATCTTTTTTAAATTAATTTTAGATATACAAATAGTAAGAAAATAAAAATTATAAATTACACCGTATATAAAAATAATATCAAAATTTTACAAAATAAACAGTGATAAGAATAATTTATTTTATTAAATATACAATTAAAAAAGAAAGCACAAAAAATATTTATCAAAAATCTAAAATAGTAACTATGACATTTTTGGGAACGGAGAGAGTATAAACAAAGTAGAATTATTTTTATAAAAAATTAAATAAAATAAATTTTAATAATTAAATACAAAAATGTAAAAAAGTGACAAACATAATGACTTGTCACTGCAATGCATGCCACTCCACGCTCTTATCACACGATGACTGGACTATTTTTTATTAGTTGAAATGTTCCACGTCAACGTATGTCATTCCAGTTTTTGCCTTGCCAGTGCTCTTACTGTAAGGGTACTGGAAATACCCATGAAGCCTCGGGGCTTCAAACCGATGCTTTAAACTTTCTCTCTCTGTCACGTTCGCTTTAACTAAACTCACAGTTTCAGTGGAAATGGGTTTCAAACCCCGGGGCTTCAAACTAAGGCTTCAAACCTTTATTTTTTATATTTTAAATACACATCTTTTAAATATTAAATTAATAAAATTAAATATTTAATTATTTAAAAGAATTGAAACGAGAATAGTCAATTAAATAATAAAATTACATGCATTAAATAAAAAATTACATTCATGAAAAAAAAATACTTGAATAATATTTTTTTTAAAAGACGATAGATAGAGAGAAATTTGTATTTGTGTTGAATTTAAAAAAAATTACTTTAATTTATTGAGAAAAAAAGAAGAAAAAAGAGGGAGAAAAAAGAAGGAAGAAGGCTTTATCACGCCTTCAACTCGCGTGAAAAATTTGACGCATGAGTTTTAACGCCCTTATAACAGGGGAGGGAGACGTGTTTCATGCCCCCTAGGCGTCAAAATTCTCCTAACGCTCCTTGGCGTACCAGTGTTTCCACTGCTCTAATTAAAATAAAGAGTCAAATTAATAAGAAAATAATAAGATGTTGGGAACAAATAAAAAATGGTGGAAGTATATAACTAGGACCAGCGAACTTCTATAACCACTCGGACCCCCTTTAGTGATGGACATTGTCTCCATTTAGGCCCCGTATCGTTTAATTTATTTTTTCTTATTTTTTCTTATTCTTATTAAAATCAGATCTGATCAGATCGAATCATATTAGATCAGATCCGATCAGATCTAATCAGATCAGATCCGATCAGATCAGATCCGGACTTATTAAAATCAGATCCCATCAAGAATTATTATTATTATTATTATCATCATCATCATCATTGTTCTTAAAAATGAAAACGAATAAACTTTAGAAATAGGTTAAATAGAAAATTGAAAAAATAATCCTTAATCATTAGACATCGGAAAAATTAGTTTTAAAATACATTCAAAATTTCAATCTAATTTTACTTTTAAAATATATTTTTATCGCTACTTGTAATTTGAGTTTCTAAACTTTTGATCTTTTATAAGGATAAGATATTTTAATAAAAATACTATCTCTTCTATATATTGATTATCTAAATTTAATTACTTTTTAATGTATATCTAAATTAAATATTTATTCTAATGTATAATTCTAATTTTACAAAAAAATAATCATAAAATAAATATATTATTACATTATAATATGAACGATTATTCTAATATATGAACTAACTATTTTTATTTTATTAAAAAATAATCATTAAATAAAAAATATTGATTATATTATAATATGAATTATCATTACAATTTTCAAACGTTATTATAAAGTCAAATTAAATTATTGATTTGAAATTTTAAATTAAATCATAATTAATCAGATCAGATCAGATCTAATCAGATCAGATCAGATCCAATTAGATCAGATCAAATCCAATCAGATCAGATCAAACCAGATCAGATCAGAACTTATTAGAATCAGATCAGATCAGAAAAAATAAGTTGAACTGAACGGAGCCTTAGACTCCCTTTTCCCTTAGTTGCACGGTTTGCACTCGTAAACTTTAATTGACTTCATTTATGATAGTTATTTATGCAGTGAAAATTATAAATTGAAATAATTTATTGGTGATTTTAGTGTCATTAGTTTTTTTATACGACTGGATTTACTTAGATCGGAGAAGAATTTAAATAGATGTTGTCAAACGAGTTAGGAGGCGTGTAGTGCGCGCTCGTTCAACGATATTACAAATTCAGAGCAGGGGTCCGAGGGCGACAGCCCCCGCAGGATCTTCTCGTGCGTTTCTTCTTCTACGTGCGAATGTACGCATCTACGCGAACGTTCATGTCCGATCATAAATTTTCGTCCCCTAAGAACAATTGCACACCTCGCGTCATTTCTTTTCTAAATACTTTTGTGTATTTTTTTCTTGATACAAGTGAGATATGACATACTCCCTCCGTCCCTAAATATTTACAACATTTTCTTTTTCAGCAGTCGAGAGAACTTTTGTTTATTTCGACGTTTTCATTGGTTATTTGATAAAATAAAATATTCTTGACACCTCTTATTTCGAAGAACTTTTCATGTAGTTTTTTGATATGTAATTTTTATTTTTTTATTTATTATCAATATGTAAATAAAATGAATTGAAAAAACTTAATATTTTGCCTCGATAATAGAAATGTGACAAATAATTTGGGACGGAGGAAGTAAAACACATATGGTACTTTATTTATAAAATTGATATTTCCCTACCTTTTTAACTCTCTAAACATCCACATCTCTTCCCCACCCTCTCGGTTGCTGCCACAATCAACTAAAGTTGCATTGTAACCAATCGACATTTTAAAGGTTGGCTACTTGGCTAGATAGGGATGAGTTTTGGATAGACAATATAAACTATCGATTTTACAAACGGGAAACGTATGTATATAATAAGCATATATAATAAGCATATGGCTGGCCCAAACAATAGCATCCAAATTTCCTATCTTGCATTTTTTGCATTTCATTATATGAGTAGCTTATCATTATACTACCTCCGTCCCAATTTAATTACAAATTGCGAGTTACGGAGTAAAATTTCCTACTTTTTAAAATCATTTTAAAAAGTAGAACAGCATCTGCAAGAAGCCTGCTCAAAATATTAACTAAGATGTCATCCGGGAACCGATCAAATCCTTTGTTTTGTCTTGGACACATACACAAAATATGCGCAATCCATGCGTTGGTGCGCTGGACCGCCATCATAGATGAATCAATTGCACCTCTCATTTTTTTTTACCTATGCAGAAAACAGTCAAGTATTAAGTTTTTTTTTAAATATCAACAAAAGTGAAGACAGCAACAAAAGGCTTCAAAGGGATTTAAAAAGCATAAAACAGACAAATAATACATATATAAAAAGTTGAAGATCTGCCGATGAAATTTGGGGAAGAGACTTGTTACTTACAGCGCGCGATCAAGAATGTGAGAGAGAGAGAGACAGAGATCGAAGACGAAGAGACGAATTCGATGAATTAGGACAATTCGGTGAAGAGGCCAAGAATGTGAGTCACATCATTGGAATGAACACATATATTAAGTAGAAGCCCCTATCAAGTATCCCAGTAACAACACACTTTTAACTAATACTCCTACTCCTAGTAGTTATATAAGGGAAAGTGCGCTAAAAAAAAAAGAAAATAAGGGGAAGTCTTTTATTTTTTTTATTTATATCTTTATTATTACACCTCCCTTTTTTTACAACAAAAATAGTACTTCCTCCGTCCCTGAGTGTTTGTCTACTTTCAGTTTTGCACACCATCCAATGCACTTCTTTAATTCATTTTATCTTGTAATTTGTACATTAAAAAATTATAAAAATTATATATTAATAATCTACTCCCTCCGTCCCTAAATAAACTTCCTCTTTCGTTTTTTCTTTGTCCCCAAATAAACTTCTCTTTTCCTTTAAAAACCCCCTTTTACCCCTTATTTTTTCATACCCTACCTATCACATCATACCTTTTTACTAATAATCTACATTTCACATCTTACTTTTACACATCACATCAAGGATATTTTTGGAAAGTCAACACCAAAATATCCCTCCCTTAAATCCTAAAAAAGTCAAAAACGGAACTTTATTTAGGGACGGAGGGAGTATATGTTAAGACGAATCAAACAAGATCACTCATGATTATTTTTAGGCTTATAAGTTGAGAGAATTTGATGAGTCAAAATGCTTAAATTAACAGTTCCAAAAGTAAAAAATGAACAAACACTCAGGGACGGACCAAGTATCATTATATGACAACAACTTTCCAATTATAAAATTCATGGTTTCTAATCTCTAATTTTTAGGTGATGGTGTAAATTACTTGACCGGTCAAACTATACTAGACCGGATCTAGAATAGTTTGTTCGATTCGGCAAAGTAAGAAAGGTAAAAACACACAGATTGACCGGTAGGACTTTAGGTGGAACACCTGTAGCCCAATTTGTATTATAACGGAGAATGCACGGGTGCTTTTACAAGGGAGTTTAGAGAGAATGAATTCGGATTCCTCTTTCTGAGGTTTACATGAGTATTTATACTAGGCTAAGGGGACAGGACCACGTGCGCCCACGTGGGGGCATGCTGCTGATGTGGTGCGAGGTGACTGGTTTCGTCCTCGAGCCGCCTTGTCGCCTTGTGAGGGGGATCATTCCCTTTGTCGAGTAGCGCCTTGGATGGATTCCTCAGTATCTCCAGTTGTCCTCTACTGACACGGGTCGCTACACGCCAAGCCCTCGCAGATCCTCTTCTGCCGACACTTTCCAACCTCAGAAACCACACCGGGTAATCTCCGAGGGGTGAATTCATCGAAGTCTGGAATAAATAGGATGATAACGTAGTTTGACCGGTATACTTTTTGTGTAGTGTACCGGTCAAAATTTGGCCGACGATATACCGTTTTCTTGACGATTAAGTCTCCCTTCCAAAACTCTTCGAGATTGACCGGTCAACAATCTGGCCTTCTCCGTTGACCGGTCGTGGGTGGAATACACCCATCATTAGGTAAACCTCCACCACAACCCGCCCCGAACCCATTGGCCCAACTCTTTTAATTTTATTCCCCTATATTTTATTTTACTTTTAGGTCAAATTTATTACTCCGCTCACCTAAAATCTTCCTATTACGCGTTACAATGTTTGATCGACTTTATTTTCAATTCAATTCATAGAAGCATCTATGAAGTATCCCAGTAACAACACACTTTTAACTAATGCTCCTACTCCTAGTAGTTATATAAGGGAAAGTGCGCTAAAAAAAAGAAAATAAGGGGAAGTCTTTTATATTTTTATTTACGGAGTATATTTTTATTATTACACCTCCCTTTTTTTTACAACAAAAATAGTGTCATAGTATGACAACAACTCTCCGATCATTAAAGTCATGGTTCCTACTCTCTAATTCCTAGGTAAAACTATCACCACAACCCCTTCCATTTTATTTTACTTTTAAGTCAAATTTATTATTATTGGTGTTGTTGTTATCGTTATTATCATCATCATCATCATCATCATCATCATCATTATATATTCATGAAATTTTTCCTTTTTATGACTATTACTATTATTATTATTATTATTATTATTATTATTATTATTTTTATTATTTTTATACTCAAGAAATTTTCAAAATAGAAGTTTTATGGTTTTTATCCCTAACATATGAGTTCATTCTGTTGTAATGTGGCATTCTATATGAATGTTTCACAATACCTTTTGATAATATATATTATTATGGTTGACATAAACTATGTATGTATTTTAACTTCTATTTAAGAAATAAAAATATGTAATTCTTATTTTGATATATTTTTAATAATTTACTCATGCTTTAGTCTTTTTTTAATATATTCCTCTCATTTTACCTAAATTAATTCCATTTATACTAAATAGACAATTTTGTCCTTAAATAAAAAAGAAGAACTTTAGGTACAAGTCTACAACAGATCTTTTAAGGAATTACTTACGAAGTATCCACCCTTATATTATAAGAGCCAACTGTGTTTATCTCCGTTAGATTAGCTCTTTTTCCATCTGTTTTCTCCGTTTATTTTTCTTCCAACCTACTTACACGGATGCTATTGGTCGTTCTTGCCGCCCACCGCCCCACTACATCACTTTCTTCCCAGTTCTGATTTTAATTCGTTCTTCTCGTTCATCCTGCGTGGTTTTCCTCTTCAATTTCCAGGTAATTCGCAGAATCTCCCTCCTCCTTCATAATCTTCATATTCATAAGCTGCACAAATCTTCAATTCTTTACTTCCAGTTTCAGATTCTTCAAATTTACAAGTTTTTGTTGCTGAAAAAAGGAAACCCAAATTTTAATTCAGTGCATTTCAAAATTCACCCAAATTTTAATACACTTATTCAATTTTTAAGAGTTCAAATTCACAGTTTTCTGTGTTCAAAAAATTTTCGGAATATTTGGGGATCCACTGAAACTGCAGCCAGTTCATCCTCTTCCAGAAGTTCAAGGGTTTTATAATTCGCTCCATTCGGAAATTCACCCTTTTTTAATACACTTATTCAACTTTTAAGACTTCAAATTCCCAGCTTTCTGTGTCAATAAATTTTGGGATTATTCAAAAATTTTAGAGGTCAAATTCACTGCTATGTGTGTTAGAAAATTTAGGAATCTGCTAGAACTCCACCCACTTCACAGCTTTCTGTGTTAATAAATTTTGGGATTATTGTTGTAGTTCTTTTGTTTTCTCCCAATTTTCAAGAACTAAACATTGTGTTGGTAGACCTCCAGTATATCTCATTTCTGTTTCATCTTCCTTTATTTTGTTGTTTCATTTTTAGTGTGTTTACTGCATGCCCTCATTTATTTTTTTGAAATAACTTAAATGGAATCCCTTACTCTTGTTACTGGTATGAAGATATAAATTGCCCATCTATTTCTTGCTTATTTGACCTACTATCAAGGAGGGCCTACCTTCTCATTACATGAATTAGGAATGCAAAAGCACTCAAAACACTATAAGATGAACTTATAGAATAATCACATGTTAGGGCTATTCACCTTCAGTTTATTGTTTTCTTAAATGGCATTTCAGCAAGTTGTGTGCCATCCTGTGTGTTTTTTATCATCTGATGCCTCCGATGAGGAGCATTTGAATTCGAACCATTTTTGTGAAAGGGATGAAGATGAAGGGCACTCTTGGCTGGCTTCTCCTTTCTTGCATCCAGATTTTCCAATGGGAACTCAGGGGCCTTACGTTGTAATGAATCAAGAGGCCCCTCCACAGATGGGATTTTGGGATCCTTTCTATACCTTCAATGCCCAACCCAATTCACAGTTTCGGGCCTATAATGGCGGTAATTCCGATACACATGCTTATTACATGAAGAGACATACCCCTGAGATGAAAATTGTAATTCACCAGACTGGAGCTGCTTCGACTGGATATTCCAATGAGTATTGGAGTTCCCATTATCAGAATGGAGAGGATTTCTTTGGATATCCGCCTCTAGGTCCATCTGAGGGTGAAAAGAATAGGAACCAGGCTAAGAAGCCCAGCCCTCCAGAGGATGTCCCACCACCTCCTTCTTCAACGACCTCCATTTGGGACTTCCTGAATCCGTTTGATGGAATTGACCAAGGGATCTCGAGTTACATGGGTTATGGAAGCCATGCATATGGGTCAGCTAATTGTAGCTCGGATTCGGCTGAAGTGAGGAGGAGGGAGGGGATTCCTGATTTGGAGGATGAAACAGAAATCGAGATGCACGTGGATGAACCTATCGTGAAGAAGATGAGTAGTGATTTCAAGAAAAAGAGGGCAGGAGAGGGGACTTCAGGTACCCGTGGAAAGTCCCTGCAAAGGCGCAGCGCTGGGGTAGAGCAATCAATGAAAAGAATGTCTCGTAGGAAACCAACTGTGTCATCCAAATACGCGGAAGAATACCTTGCTAAAAAGCCAATGCCCACTAAATCTGGTAAGGGTTCTCCGGTTTCAAGAGGATCACCATCGCAAGACAGTTCTGGCAGCAGCCCCAAACCACATTCATCAGGAAATGAAGAGTGCTCTATCTGTGATGTTACAGGTTCAACCAATGTATCAGAGGAGAAGGCCAGTTCTGACACCATTGTATCAAAGAGTCCCAGAGATGGAAATGTTAAGTCAAAAGGAGTGACTTTTGAGGTAGATCGTGAATTTGTATCTTCAAAGTTAAGTAATTTGGATAATACTGCTTCACGTGGAACAAGAGATCTTCGAGAGGTTGTGGCTGAAATCAGAGACGGATTTAAGATTGCTTCAAGTTGTGGGAGGGACATAGATGTGATGTTTGAGGTTGGAAAGCTGCCTTACCACCCTACATTCATTCGAGGTACAATATCCTGTGTATGCGTCTTAGTCTAGGGTCTGAGGCAGTATAAGTGAGGCACTATAAGATGCTATTAAGAGGGAAGTGCACTTTTAGAATCTGATTTTAAAATAGAATATGATTGTGAAGCTTCTTTTTATGGGAAAACTGACACTTTAGGGGCTGATTTAGAAACTTTTGGGGCTGACTTTGATGAGAAATTTGGTACTTTAAAGGCAAATTTTCAAAGAGATTTCTGGTTTTGAAGTTAATTTCATGGATAAAACGGAACCTCTAGGGCCTGACTTTTTGAATACAACAAGTCCACTACCTTTCAATGCATTTCTTCTTCATCATCTGTACACTTTCATTTGGTTTAATTTCAAGTGTAGTGGCACGTATTGATTCTAAATTACACATTTTTATAAATCTTATTCTTTCTTACTCAATCCCTTGTTAAGTGTTTTATAAATTACAAACTTATATTCTAAATTCTCATTTTTTGAGTTTCATTTCACAGAAAAATGGATGCCAAAGAACAAATGCAAACACTCACGGTTATTGCTGCCATCAAACCAACATCAGGCTTTTACGAAAGACAAACATCAAACATCTACTCACTAAGCCTCTACAGCCTCTCTCAAAGGGAAACAAGCACTACAAGTTTAAAGAGAAAGTTGAAAGTTGAAGAGGACTGCCACAAAAAGAAAACTTAACCCATGTTTCAAGATCTTAGAAACTTTTTTTGGACTTAATTAAATGTATATTCCTACCCCTCTTGTAACATATATGTATCCCAACTAGGTAGGAATCCTCTACATCTCATATATGAAGTGCATGTGAGCACTTCAATTTTTGTAAAACAATCCCTATATTAGAACTTATACATTTGCAACGTATCATAAATGAAATGTAGGTGATCACTTCAATTTTTGTAAAACAATGTCTAAACTTCTCGTAAAGTACTACACGTATGTCGTACTACAAAATCATAGCACATTATACAAACAATTTGAGCACACACACACAACGTGTGTGCCATGCTAGTTAACTATTATAAGAGTGAATTTATCAAAGGTATATAAGGGGAAGTCTTATTTATTTTTATTTAGATTTTTATTATTACACTACTCCGTATCATAATATGACAACAACTTCAGTCGGATTATCATAGGTACTCCGATCATAAAATTCATTATTCCTACCCTCTAACCTCTCGGTAAACCCTCCCACCCCGACCCGCGCCGAACCTCCAACCCCTTCAATTTTATTCCCCAATTTTATTTTACTTTGGGTCAAATTTATTAGTATTATTATTATTATTATTATATATTCATGAATATTTTCCCCTTTTATTATTATTATTATTGCTATTATTATTATACTTGTGAAATTACCAAAATCGGAATAAAAAAGAGTGAATATACCAAAATAGAAGTTTCATGGTTTTTATCCCTGACATATGAGTTTATTCTGTTGTAATGTGACACTCTATATGAATATTTTACAATACTTTTTGGTAATATATATTATAATGATTGACACTATATATGTATGTTTACTATATATATATAGACACACACACACACACTAGCAATGGCACGTGCGTTGCACGAGATGTGGTGCCCGAAATTAGCTTTGCCGTTGGGCGTGTTACTATTATATGTTTGGCACTGCCTTTTCCATTTTTCAATCATATGTCAAGCATATTTATTTTTCTATTTAGTTTTGTTTTCACAGTACTATATCACTATTAATTGTTAATTTTTTTTCATTTTGTAGCTTTATCTATTTGGTTTATGCAACTACATTTGTAGTATTTCCTTTTCCATTTGCAATCATAACTCACACATGATTCTATATCTATATTTGATTTTTTAGTGATTATCTATCACGAATGCCACTACAATATCAAGATTGTATCAATAGTAATTACATACAATTGAGCTCCTTTCTAGATTTAGTGAAAAAGAATTTTTTCGAATGATTAGGGATTAAAATAATGTTTGTGATAAGAGATTTTTCTAGAAAATTTTCCAGATTAAATCTTTCTAATTCTCATGTTTAAACATTTTTGTAATGGCATTTTGGACAAATCTATTAAAAATTATTCTGTTTCAAATAGTTTTAAAAATGAGAAAAAGTCAAAGTGAAAAGATTAAATTCAAACAGAGGATGTTATAAGTAGCTTAATTCGGGATAGTCATCTCACAATCAGATCAGACCAGATCAGATCAGAACTTATTAGAATCAGATCAGATCAGAAAAAATAAGTTGAACGGAACGGAGCCAAAGTTTATTTGACGTTAAAATGGTAATTAAGATGATACGAATCGTTAATTTTACAAATGAGTACCGTAAGGTTCTGAGGTCATTACATGATACAGAGTATAGTATTACTGGAACTGGCCCTTTTTATTATGGTGTTGGCCCTTACCTCTTCGAAGATGACCGGATAAAATTTCAAAATTTTCATTTTTCTTTGAATAAAGTTATTTGTACCCAAGAATATGTACCTCATTTTATATACAGCAGGGATGCACCAACATTTTGTGTTATTATAATGCTAATTTTTGTTAATACACCAACACTTTATGTTCGTGCGAATTTTTGTTAACGCACCAATACTTTGTGTCAATATGAACCATCAAAATGTTGGTACATATTTTTGGTGTACGAATATGGTACAAATTTTGAACTACATCACTTTAGGTGAAATTTTAGGCCATTATTTATTAATTGGAGTACTCCGTAAGACCGTAATACATCAAGAAAAATAGAATGATTTTTTTAAGAAATCGCCTAGAATACGAGATAGGACTATAGGAGTGAAATGTAGGGAATAGACCTAGCTACAAAATTAACCAAAACTGTTTTTTATGACTCAAAAATATTGAATTTTGAAAAAATGTTTTATTGAACGAATCCAAAATGACTCGTTAAAAATGCGTCAAACCTGGCCGAACTCCAAAATGACTCATCATGTACTTTAATATGAAAATTAATGTATTAAAAATAAAGGTTGTGTATTATTATTTTTCTTATTACTTATTTTTAGTATATGAACATATATTGTCAAACAAATTTTAATAATATCAAAAAGTTATCTTATTTTTTCAAAAGTGGTGTATATTTATTTTTTATATTATTCTTAATAATTTAAAAAAAAATCACCCAAAATAGAAGTAGATTATTACAAAAGTACTAAAATAGAAATTTCATATTTTTATTTCCAAAATAAGAATTTGCAATATATACAGACATTTCATAATATTTTTTGATATTATATGTTGACATCATGGTTATTGTAACTCTTATTCTAGAAATAAAAAAAATAAAACTTTTTGGTAATTTCTCTATATTTTACTCCGAGTGTAGTCTTTTTCCTTTTAAATATATCAAAGAAGTAATTAAAAACTCAAAATAATTTATTCTAACCTGTTTAATATATTTATATTTATATTTTATAATTTTTTTAGTACAAAATTCAAGTGCTAGTATGAATTGTAATATTCTAAAACTAAATTTCATAACACATTGAGTTAATCCAAACTTGATGACAATGGTCATACACATGCACTTTTCAACTCAAATAAAAATTTAACGCAACCCAATGTAATCTGAACCCGAAGCAATCTCAAACCCGACTGGATCGACCCATTTGTCAGCTTTAGTTGTGAGTGTGATAGAAAAGTGATTGTTGTGTAATACAACACTATGATGAATGATCAATCAACCTTTAGTGGACCACCGGTCAACATCAGCGACGACAATTTGGTGACTGGCGACAAAAGATAATAGTGTGACAGTTGCAATGTGACAATGAGGGTGTTTGGGAGTGATTAACTTATGGATAAAGTGATTTCCACAAAAGCTGAAAGCAAAAGCACCTCCTACCTGCTTCTCCAAAACGGTGTTCTATGTACAAAATAGTGGTGGTAAAAAGCTGAAGCTGATATGCCAAACAGAGTAAAATCACTTCTATTCAAAGCAGAAGCTAAATGATTAAAAGCAGCACACTGCCAAACAGCCTCAATGTAATGAGTGTGGTAGTATTAATAATGACAATATGAATTCTTATTTTGGATTTAAAAGACTCATGATTCCTATTTTGATATTTTTATATTTTTTACACTTAAAGTTCTTTTATTTTTTTGAAAACACAACATACTTTTGTGTGGCATTCAATCTGCGCTGCCTTCATCCTAATCCAAGTCTGAATAAGAACAATATGAACATAGAAACAAACTAGACAAAACAGCAGAATGAGTTCCTCTAAACATGATGGATCTCTTCCTAGGGTTAGGGTTTGCCTTTAGATGTGCGCTACAATAACAATTCATTAGATAAAAAACAAACAAGAAACAATATAAACACTTTATTAATCATAAACACAACATACATTATCAATATACACATTGTCAGTGTAAGTGTATAATTTCACCCTTGTTCTGCTAATTATCTGTTTTTTAAATTCTGTTTGCTAATTTTCCTTCAGAATATATGTTTTGAAATACACAATATTTTTCGTTGATCATCTAATTCAAAGACACCCTGATAATCAAATAAATTTCAGGTTATATGATTTCAGGTAGACTATATTTGCTATTGATCATCTGTTTCAATATCACCCTGATAATATCTGTTTTACATTCGGATTTGAAAATTTGGTAATGGTTATGCCATGTTTTTTAGATGATAACCTTTCAATGTTGTAATATGGAATCATTACTTTCTAAATGCTGAATGATCAAAGAATTGGTACCTGAGATTGTTGCATTTTGCCTACACAGTCTGAACTTGTTAGACATTGCATCAAGGTCCTTTATGTGGATGGTTTGGAAACAGTGGGTTCCCTAAACAAGTTCATAATATAAGCTCTGCTGTTGAGATGAAATACATAAAATCAGGATGGGACTTGAGCTACTTCCCCCAAAAACTTTCTTGGTTCAGTTCTTTCATATGAGAGTCACTAAACATCTAAGCACTTGAAATGTGGATCATTTTCGAGGATCTCTAACAAACATATCAAAGCGTACTAGGGCTACAAAAGTCTAAATTGGCCCTCCGTATCAGTGTGTCACACAAACTCTTATTCCATCCGTCTGCGTTTCTTCGCAAGATTCTCAAAGATTTGGTGGACATCGGCAGAAGTAACCACCTTGGATGGATCCAAGGACCCCAGAAAAGATTGAAGCTCATTCTTGAAGTCAGCAATGCCAGTCAAGATCTCCATTTTCTCAATGTGGCCAAGTTTGTTAAGGAACTCAGAGCCCTGCTTCTCCAAAAACATCTCCCTTTTTTGCTTTGCCATTGCCTCGTACTCGGCAATTGTGTCCTCTTTGTCAAGCAAGAAGGCAACTCCTTTCTGGTTGTACAAGTCCACACAGCTCGGGCACCTGCATAGTGCTTCTCTCCAGTTTTTGCACAGAAACATCGGTTTGCTTTTCTCTGTATCAGCAGAAGCAGCCTCACTCAATTTCAATCCAATAATGCATTTCTCTGAAGAACTTGCTCCATTAGTCTCCTCTGAAGATCCTAGTGATAGAGGAACATTCTCGGCCACTTCTTTCTCCTTCATTATAGCCTTGTCTTTCTGAGGGACTGGTGCAAAGACTTTTGGAGGATACAACATTAGAAAAGAACAAACACTTGCACAGCCCTGGCATATAAAGTCCTCGTAAATTGGTTCCCCTTCCTCATCTCTTGGAATCATGTCTGAAGACTCAAGACCAAGATGGTCATCATGATACCAGTCTTCGCAGACACAGCACTGAATCATCTCCACTTGTTCTTGAGCATCTGGGTCAGGGAAGGGACGCCCACACGAGCAATATAGACCTCTGAAATTGTGGCTGTACCTATTCTCTGGATTCTCTACATCTTTGCCTGGAAGAAGCTTACAGAAGAACTCCCCAAATTTTGAATTTCCACAATCGCACCTGAAGTTTCTCTTAGTCCAGAGCTCCACAATCTCATGACCATCATGACAGGACAAACTACAGGCAGTGCAGATCCCGGCATTTCCATCTGGTGTACATGTCAAGCAAGAGAAGATGGCCTGCCTTTTCATATAGCCATTGTTATATGTGCATTCCTTTCCCTCGTCACCACCCAAAACCAAATCTGCTTCGAGTTCCTGTTCTTCCACATCCTTCAAGTACTCTTCGATTGAAACCGTCGGCTCAGATTCTTCATCAAAAGAATCAGTCATGGCGGCTGGAGACCCCCTGAAGGGGCAAAATCTTTACTTACAATGCTTGCTACAAGATTAAGGCCATGTGGGTGTGCTTTCCCAAAAGTGATTCAAATTTTATCGTCATTGAATTTGAATCAATTTTATACTCCTTAATTGCTACATTGAAAATATGAAATAAAACATATACTCCGTATATGTGAAAATATTACTCTATATAAAAACAGACATCTTCTTTCTATATTTATATGCAAAATCATCACTTGAACTATTAATTTCTATTTTTTAAATTAGATTTCATAATATTAAACCAGATTAATTCCATAAATTGTATCTAAAATAAAAAGCTGACTCATGTATCTAAAATAAATTTCATAAAATTAAATTTCTAGATATTTCTTGCACCAATTTAACTAAACACTTAACTGAATTTCAGAAAATTTCACAAAATTGATTCATGAAGTATAGCTTCCGTAATTTCTTCTACAATTGAAAATCCAAACATCACCATACTCGAGAATCTAGCTAACGAAATTGGGGAAATAGTGCATTAGGGTTCATCGACCTATTTGAAGTAGAAGATTTAACGAAAAAAAACCTGAAACCGCAACGATCCTCGCCTGAGACGCTCCACCACCCAGCGCTCTCTTCGTCTCTCTCCGCCTTTAGGTTGCGACTTGCAAGAGCAGGGCCTCACGGCGGGCAAGTGATGCTGGGCCATAGGCTGTTGGTCATGGCTACTAAAACAAAACAAAAAATAGGGGGCCTCTATTTTCATTGGGCCATGGCCTGTTGGTCATGGTGCAACTGTGCAAGCCCAAGCCCATGGCACGGCCCTGTATTATACTTTGTACTCCGTACATAATTACCGAGTATAATTTTTGGGAAAAAACTTATTTCCAATGGGAAAATCATTTTCCTCGTAAATCATTTTCGATTGAAATTACTTTCCCTAACCAAACACATCCTAAGACACACTTGGGACATTGGCCTTGTTTGGATGTTGGCTGTCAGCGTTGGTAGTTCGTACCAGCTGTTGTAAATGGTTGTTTAGTTTAGCTGGTTTGACTAGCAGAATGAATTGGCTGATCGTTAAAAATGCTTGGTAAAATTAGCTATTTGATATTTGCTTTTATTTTCTCATTTCATTTTTTGAAATTTTTAAATTTTAAATTTTATTTTTTTTGTATTAAATTATTTTAAATTTATTTTTATTTTTATTTTTTTACATATATTTTAAAATATCTTTCAACAAAAATGATTTTAAAAAAATTATTTTTCTTCACTGCCAAGTCCAAATGCTACTCCATTTGGCATTTCAGATGTTGGCTTTCGGATCAAAATGCCAAGTGAAAAAGTCATTAGCCAAACAATAGTTTTGGCGGTTCACTTGGTCAAAAAAGCCAAAGTCAGTCAAAAATGTCAAAAGCTATCCCAAATGTTGTTTTCCAAACAAGGCCATTATCATCCCGTGTATGGCATATTGGCATTCGCTCATGCAATGGCGGGTTTACTATCCCAAAAGCACCTTGAGCATTTCTAAAAGGAAAAAGTTATTCTGAATTACTTTTTGGAGGAAAATTCAAGTGACATTGAACCTTGATGTCATAAGATGACTCGGGGGCATTGCGGTGCCCCGTTTGTAAAATTGACTATTCATATCCTCCCTAACCACCCCGGTAAACCCCCCCCCCCACCTGGCCCCGACCCGAACACACCCCCCACCCCCTTCAATTGCACCCTACAAGTTAAAAAAATATTTCATATAATAAATCTAATAAAACTAATTTTGTATCAATATTGAGTACCATTCTTATTTAATTTGAGGTCAATATTTAGTAATTTTTAGTAAAAAAATCTAAAGTGGACAAATACTCAGGGAGAGAGGAGCATTAGATAATAAAATAAAAATAGTTTTATTTTATTTATGATATAAAATACTTTCAAAATATTATTTTATCTAATTAATATACAATATAAATTTTATTTAATTCTAGATCAAATATAGAAAACAGTGACTGAAAAAAGTGAAAACAGGACAAATACTCTGTGATTGAGGTAGTAATCTTTCTATATTTTTCATCAAGTAATAAATTTATTTTGAAAATTTATTCTAGTTTTTGTTTTTTAAAGACAAATATATAAAAATATAAATAAACATTTTAAATTTTATTTTTTATCATTGGTTTTTTAATTTGTAAACCATAAACTAAACTTTTATAAGCATTTCTTGCATTTAATTATGCATTTCTCACTTTTTTTATTTTCTTAATTTAAATACACTTTCAATTTTTCAAAAATAAAGGGGTTTGTAAATTTTTAAAGTGTAAACTAGATATGTATATATTTATTTCGATTTATATCAAAAATGATAACAAACCAATCTAAACTATATCGAATCAATGTGTCAGAATCGAGATTGATACGATGTAAAATTTGATATTAAGATAAAATATTTGGCATAATGTCATTACATACGAAATATCGTACTCAGCCTAAGGGCACTGGTTTACCTATGAAGCCCCGGGTCAAACCTTCTATCTCTGCCATGTCAGCTTTAACTTACTTCACAGTTTCAGTAGAAATGAGTTTGAAGCTATGGGGCTTCAAACTGAGGCTTCAAACCTTCATTTTTTAATTTTAAATACAAATCTTCTAAAATTAAATTAATTAAATATAAATATTTAATTATTTAAAAGAATGGAAATGAAAATAGTTCATTAAAAATTGCATTCATTATAAAAAAAAATTACATTCATTAAATAAAAAAACTACATTCTTTAAAAAAAACTACATTCATTAAACAAAAAAATTATATTCATTAAATAAAAAATTAAATTTATGAAAAACTAAAAAGTACTTGAATACTAATTTTTTAAAAACGATGATAGATAAAGAAAAATTTGTATTTGTGTTTGAATTTTTAAAAAAAAATTAATTTAATTTATAAAGAAGAAAAGAGGAAAAAAAGAGGGAGAAAAAAGAAGAAAAAAAGCATTAAAACGCCTTCAATACACGTCAAAACTTGAACGCAAAAGTTGTAACGCCTCGATAACGAAGGAGGGGGGCGGTGTTTGACGCCCCAGGCGTCAAAGTTAATATAAAGGCATTGGAAATACGTTTGAAGCCCCGGGGCTTCAAACTGGGGCTTTAAACCGGAACTTCGAACTTTCTCTCTCTGCCACGTCAGCTTTAACTTACACCCAAAATTTACTGGAAATGGGTTTGAAGCCACATGGCTTCAAAATGGGGCTTCAAGCCTTTATTTTTTACAATTTTAATTATACATCTTCTAAAATTAAATTAATAAAATGTAATGAATTTATTATTTGAATTAATCGCAATGAGACTAGTGCATTAAAAAAATATTCATTAAAAAAATATTACATTCATAAAAAAATACATCCATAAAAAAATTACATTTATTAAAAAAAAAATATTACATAAAAAACAACACTACAAAGAAATCACTAATTATTCGAGCGACTAAAGATATGTTCGACCAAATCCGCCGTTAGTGCATTGTGAATATCTCGGCTTCGAATTTCTTGGCGGTTTCTTCGTTTCTTTTTTCATCGTCGGATGAAAATGATCTCATGTTTAAATTATATTTTATAAATATTTATAATAAATAATAAATATTTTAGAGAAAAGACAGTGAGAAATGTGAGAGAAATGTGTGTGAGAAAGTGAGATTTTATAGATTTTTTTAAATTTAGATTTTTTTTTAATTTGGGAGGGGGGTTAACAGCTATATAACCGTTTGAAAAGGAGGGGGGCGGGGGGTAACGGCTAAAATTCAAAAGCAACGCTGTGTTAAACGAATGATGCAGATGCCATAACACCTCGCTAATGCCGCAGGGGGCAGTGTTTAACGTTCTCGATCGTGAAAAGCGGCATAACACCGGTGAGCGTGAAGGGTATACCGAGTGCTCTAACATGGTAGGGCGTTAAGCCCATTACCACTACTCTAATGGAAGGACTAAGGAGAAGTTTTTAGAGGTAAGCATTTTCCCCCAAAAAAGACAACTCCGGAAGTATAGGTAGGGGGAATCAGAATCTCAATCGGACGGAGGAAACGGCGCTTACGCGCCCGCCAGATCTAAACCAAAACAGAAATCGTTTGGCGTTGCGCGAGAAAGACGGCGTGAGACAAGCGTTACATGCTGCCACGTGGGAAACACGGCCAAATAAAGCACGTGTCGACTTCACCTACATGCACGTTCAACCCACAATTTGCGAGACCCTTTTTCTTCGCCCGTACAACAATCTGATTTGCCGCTAATTATGCAATTGTTAGAAGACAAATTTTATTACTCCCTCATTCCCCAATTTGATTACAAATAATGGATTTCGGAGTAAAATTTTTTACTTTTTAAAATTATTTTATTTACAAATTGGCATATTAAAAAACTACATCAAAAATTCTACAAAACAAATTATGTCATTAACAAAAACTACGTTAATGAAATCGTATAAATAAACAAAAGTTATCGAGAGGAGAGAAAAAAAATTGTAATCTATTTAGGGACAGGGGAGCATTAACTTAAAGTCGATAAGAATAAAATAAGTATTTTTTTACTATTTAAATAAAAATAGTTTTTAATTAAAAGTATTTAAAAATAATATTTTTTATGTGAGAAAGTCAACAAAAATAGTATGCACCCAAAGTACATAATAGAAGCACTCAATTTATATATTAATATTCTATTAAAAATATTTAAAACTTGACACGTGTATAGGAACTCATATTTTCAACTACTTATAGTACTCTGATCCGCATTACATCGTTGAAAAATGCTGCTCCATAGTCGGTGGAATAGAATACAAATAAGGATAAAGTTATATGTACCCAACTTTTGTACCCTACTTTGTACCACGCAGGTTTGCATCGATACTTTATGTTGGTGTACAATTAATTTTTGTTAATGCATCGACACTTTGTGTCCGTGTAAATTTTTATTAACGCACCAGTATTTGTGTCGGTGTAAACCATCAAAATGTTTGTGTATAACTGTGGTGTACAAATGGCGTACAATTTATAGTGTAAGGGTAGCATGGCCCTACAAATAATTAAGGAATATACATGGAGTGGAGGGTAGTATACTTCTCTAGTCTTATACGGAGTAATTAACTACTCAATCTACCTAGCTACAACTATGTGATTATAATCTAATTTATCTTCTTTTAGGTCTAAAAGTCATTGAAAATAGGTTCATTCTTTTTTATAAAAGAATTTATAATCGTGTAACAATGTTAATTAGGGAAATTGTAGATAACACAGATTAATCTGAGATTCGTGATAAAGCTTTCATCTTGATTATTTTCGACATTCAATCCAAAAAACAATCAGATAAAAATCAAATTATTGATCAAGAACAAATATGAATTGTGATGACAGATGAACTTCCGAACTCCCCTAATGCGACTAACACTTTTTCCGGATCCTTATAGATGCGGAAGGAAGGAAGAGATACGATCACGTCTCTTTTCTGAAACTGACATCTAGTCATGCGAAATTTAGAAGACGTGTTTTTTCAGTAAAAAATCTTTAACCCAAATTTCGAAAAGTAAAAATTCAAGTGAACTTTAACACAACACTTTGGTTCCTAGCAGGGGCTCCACCCCCTTGGACCCTGCAGGAGCGGTTGCCCCTAGAACCCTACTCGGGAGCGCCTGGTCCAAACCGCTGCCAAAGGGCGCTGCCCTCTTAGGA